GGGGGGGGGAATATAGCTCAGAAAACATTCACTCCCTATATTAGAAAGAGTGCATTCTGAAATGTTTAAAAAATATTAGCAAAGCAAATTGTGAGAGTCAGAGGGGACAGCTGCTTTGGAATAGAATTCATTTCAGGGAGTTCTAGAGCAGGCTAAGCAACAAGAGAGAGAAAGATCCTTTGATTATAATGTATTAACTGGGTGTGGCAGTTCAACAATGGTACTTGTAGCTATCAGTTAACCCAGTTATTAAATAATGACACTACCATACAAGCCTATATATATACAGTAGGTAGGGTAATCCCTTTACACACAGAGCAGGGACAATTACTAGTAGTAAGCACATCAATAATTTATATACACTGCATTAATTAACATTTTTTGAGACTCCACTCGATTAGTTCCTTATGTGAAGAATTTCAATATTATCTTACAGAAAAAGTTTAAACATATCGTTTCATCTAATGATATTACCTACCAAATAATCTTCAGGTACTGTATTAATGAAGATTTTTTGAGAATTTTAAATGATTATCTGACAGAAAATGTTTAAAAATTAGCATTGTTATGTAATGCCATTACTTACCCAGGTTCTTGTGCATCGTAGTTAAACAGCGCTTTGGCACAGGCCACAGGCAGAGCTGTCGACGCCTGAAAATACAATTCATGAAATAATAATATGTTTATCTTTTGACAAATCAATCCAATCTTCACATCGCACAATTTTCATCTCACAACAAAGGTTGAATAATGTACCTTTATATTAATAACAGTTGTATTTTGATACCAGTTAGAAGACAGCAAAGACAGCACTATTAATTTAAGCTTCTGTGTTCATTTTAAAGCACAGGTAAGCATGTACAAATTTCAAATGCTACGGATTATTAATTTTTGGTTTAAGAGTATTAATTAACTTTCTTTAGTCTAATTCACAATTCTTTGGTAACAAATCAGTTTGGCTTTTACTGAAGAATTTTGCCAAGGTTTTTTTTGTCATTATATTACTATATGAGCTTCAGGCATGAGCTAGCAGAGATCTTAACATGGGTCATTCTAATCATGATGTTTTTTTTTTCCATTTTTTTAACAAAAACTGCACATGTGAACCACTTGTTGGACTAAAATGCCTACTTAACTTGACATCTGAACCTCCCTCTAAGGTACAATGCATTTCACACGCACTAACAAAGAAAAAACATTGCAAAGAGAATTCTAAATTTAATATAACTGATATAATTCAATTAAATGTAAATTAGGTTTTCATGTTTAAACCTCCCTCAAAAAGTCTTATACACAAAATACAGCTGTCATTTTTTCAACAAATGGACTTTAAAAACAATTCCTTGCCCCCCCCCCCCCCCCCAAAAAAAAAAAAATTAATATGACATATCTTGAATGGAGAAAGCAGCACACAGCTCCTAGGTTACTCATATCATTGTGAATTTTCAAGGAAGAGTTGCTGAGACCTAATGCACTAAAGCATCATTCACACAACATTGTTTAAATAGATTTCAAGTGGAATGAAGTAGTACACAGATAATCTGGTAAAAAGAGTCAACAAAAGACCAAGGCATGGGTAATGGCATCAACTGACTGTTGACTGCTTATGGTGTGAACTGGATGAGTTGTTTAAATCCTATGCTGATGCCAAGTGTGTGTGTGTATGTTTGCATGTGGGTGCGTGCATGCATGTGCTCATGAGCATGCTTGCAAACAGTCACATGTGAAACAGCACGTACTCAAGTACCTATCTAGATCTCTGCATGTTTGCCAACATGTGTGATAACCTTTACACATCCCAGGCAACTGTTCTTATCAGAAAGGTAAAAACTTTTAAACTGGCAAATAAAGAAGCCTATAAATTACACACAGGAGTCCAGTTACACCTTGTTCAGAAAAACATAGCCTTTTGGCAACTGGCAGATATTCTTACCTCTAATTTGTTCCACATGTATTACCCTAACTCACAACAAGTGCTGTGATGTGGGGGAAACATTTCCATTGCCAACAAAGAAGTTCAGCAATTAAAAAAAAAAAAAAAAAAATATATATATATATATATATATATATATATATATATATATATATATATATATATATATATATATATATATAAATAAAATCTTGGTTGTAGAATCAAAAATAACGAGAAAACTAAAATGGATGGGGTCAAGTTTTATTTATAGTTTGACATCTGGAAAATGATGGGATTAAATTTGTTTGAATCATGTAAATGACAGCTAAATCATGGTAAAAAATGGCTGTTGTCAGAATTTAAGATCTCCTGTGCTGACTGCACTGAAGCTGTAGAGCCAATTATCTGTTACCACAGAGGACCTGAACAAGACCAAACTAACTCAAACCTTTCAAGGACTAATTCAATAACGCATTGCCTGCAAACCACCTCTAAACATGTAAGTTGTACAGTCACCACAATTAATTTAGTAAGTGGGTGAGTTAACTTGTGGAAAAGCACGGGTTGCCATTCCCACCTGGTCTCTGTACACTGAAACTACCCACTTCCTTAAGGTAGACTTAGGGACCATTCCCAGACCCTATCATACTAACTGTGGATTGATCTATCTCAGTGGGAATTGCCGCTAAATTGCAATCAACTTAAGTGGCTTAAATGCCTGTAACTGAAGCTACTGAAGCTGCTTAGGGGTAATTATCGTTTAGCAGTTTTAGTAAGCATGCCAGACATCTAAGCCGCTTAACCTGAAAGCAATTTAATGAGAATCCTTGGAGATGGATCAATCCTGTTAGATCGATCTTGGCATGGGAACCCAGTCTTAAACCCTTTTTTGTGGATCTGTTCCTGTTAGGAACCAGAGCCTCCAAGGGCAGCACCAGTTCAGGCACATTTAAGTACTTATTCAAATCATATTAACTGTATACCTTATTAGAATAGTTTCTTTGTGTGAAATGTCCCTAAAAGCTTCCAATCTATTAACAAGCGGGTTCATGCCCCCGTAGTTCTTAAAGCTGTTTACAGAACTGCGTATTGTTTTTATTTCAGAAAACAACAAAAACAGAGTCCAGCCTGAGTAAATATTCACATTGAAAACTTGTTATCCACCTGTGAAGCATTATTAAGATTTTTTTGAACACAATATATATTTACAAGTGCCTCCTGAGTGAAAAGTGCATGTACTAACTGTTACTACAACTAACTGGTTAGCTTTCTCCTGGAGATTTCACAATATTTAGTACTTGAAATGAATGGCCAAGAATTGTTCTTTTTATCATTTTTAACCATTTATCATTATCCAAACTTCATTATTAGAGACAGGGTCAGGGTTGACATGTAGACAAAAATCATCACCCATCATTTTATCTGTATCATATTATGCATCGTAATAAAAGTTAAAAGAATAAAGATCACCTGAAGTAAAGGTAAAACTCAACACTGTTATCAATCAAGAGGTTTCATCTGAACTAGAACACATTTATGCAGCAGTGGAGGCAAAAATGAACAAGAAACCTAGAAGGAAAAAAAAAAACACAACAGCAACAACAAGAAAATCCCCTAGGTAAATGTCACTGTAGTTCAGGTATTAAAGCAGAGGTGTGTAACAAGATAGCCAGGTCTAGACTGGAGGTACTCTATTTCCTGGAAACCTACTGAGAAATATATACTCACAGCCACTTAGATATTACATACTTCAACACCACTAGCCCCTAGCTCCAGGGTACAGCAACAGTGATCTATAATTGGTATAGGGCTAAGGGGGCTGCCTGGGTGATTCTGATACCCTATTACATACATGTGTACTAGTTTATATACACCAAAGCATTAGCCAGCCCTCTGTGAATTATATCGAGAAAAAATTCAATTATCTCCAAAATAAATGGAAGAGATTGAAAATGAATCTGAAACAGTGCAATGTAACATTTGACTATCAATGCACCTACTATAGCCTTCCTAGTATGACTGGTTTCATAGGTGATATTTGTGTATGCACCTTATTGTGAACTGAATAAAATATGACTGGCTCAGGGGAAATCATGAAAACCCCAGCCAGTCTCATCATATTTAAACAGATGCAGTGCACCTTATATATGTATGATGCTATATCTGTTCCAGAACGTGAAGAATGGAGATGGTTATTTCTCTGGAGTATATTAGCCCATTGTGTGACTGTCTATTACACAAATTACGAAGCAGCCAGTGCACTAATTTATTAGTCTGACGGCTCTATTGACACCTGGCCAGAGTTGTTGTACTGAATGTACTGAAGTACATGTACAGAGCTGCTATGTATAAATGTACATTGGGGATACCTATTGTAATGCATGTTACAGGGGTGGACAGAAGCTGTCTTCTGGGTCTTCCAGAAGTTTACATTGACTGGCATCTAATTTTTCTGTCAGGAGGCAGTCAAAAAATGGAGGACTGATCAACAAAGATAATTAGGAAGACTGTCAGAAAATATATCTGAGAGAGAGAGAGAGAGAGAGAGAGAGTGAGAAGGAGAGAGTGAGGGAGAGAGATTACATCAGCAAACTTTCCACTGTGTAGGCCAGACAAACAGACACCATTGAAGAAGTGTGTGCACAGTAACCTAATTCTTAATGGTGTGCAGCAGACTGTCTCACAGCCTATTCATTTGCTCAATCCAAAGTTCACTTGTACCTGCCCTTTGTTCTCAAAAGGCATCACATTTAAAGAAGTCATCACCCTCCATCACCACACAAAATCTGTATTTTTCACTCCCCTGTCTTAACTTCCATGGGAACACCATACTCTAACACCCCGACATCTCACCACAATCCCACTGTGGAAATATGGAAATGACACAAAATTCCAGACTATTAAAAGAGTTGTCTGGCACACAGAAGTCTGTCAAGGCATGCATACAAATCAGTGCTTTGTGTATTAATAGAAAGTCCCAGTAAACCAGGTCCTGCTTTCATGACAGAGATGATATCTAAACAGGAGGCAATCACTGGGGTGTATGGGGTTCACTGTGGACAGGTAACCTAAATAAATCCTGGGCTTTGTACCTGTAAAATGTACAATAGGTCTACAGGTGTCCTGTGTTCAAATGGCATAGAATTAACATGGGAAAGTTAAATAACTTAATATTAAAGCAATGGACCACCTTCTTACTTAATATGTCTAACTCTGCTACTTTTCTTCCGAGGGAGTTAATTTATAATGCTCTTCAATTTACAGCATTTTACCACCTACTAACTTAATAAATCAATCACTACTTGCAATATCAGGAAAATATAAGAAAAACATTTGGGGAAAGTGGACACAAAGTACTTCTACACATACATGTGCTCCAAAAATGGAGAGATACTTATGCAAGAAACATACTGACTTAAGGCAAAATCCATGAGAAAAGAAAATGAAATAAATCACAGTCAGCAATTTGTCTTAGGTAGAGAAAAACATTTCTTGGGGCAATTTAACCAGATATTATACAAGTCCCTAACATCAGTATCATTAATTTGTAAACTCTGCACTAAAAGAGAGACAATCTTGTGCCACATCTAGGAAATTTAACCATATTATTACTATTATATATTATTATTATTATCTTCCCCATACTACTTCCCATATATGACAGGGGAATCAATATTATAATGATAATAAAAACCTTATGGACATGACCACAACATTGAACAAAAACTGCACCTTAATCTGCAGACACATTCTTTGTGGTAAAATAAAACCCAATTTTCCTAGTTTCAGTCTCATGGTATACATGTAAATATGAAGTTGTCAGACCAGGATGTATTGTTTGATTTTTTTTCATAATGAATACAAAAATCAATTTGTCCCTAACTGCCAAAAAGAACAAAGATTTTTCTTTTTTTCAGCTAATGATGATCACTGTCTTCTTCCACCTCTTTCTTCTAGAAAAATAAACCCCTTTAAATCCAGACAAGTCAAATGAAATCAAAACAGAGGCCTGGCCCCAAATGCTGCCTGTGCCAATAAAGGCTTCTTTCTTCATATTCCTGACAGAGATCACTCAATCTCTTCTCAATGATCTTAAATGGATGTTCTCAGCAAAAATATCAAGTCCGCGCTGAGAGACAGGAGTAAGATGCAACTGCTTCCAGATGCTATTTCTTTTAATCTCTGAGAGCACTTAAAAAGTTGTCCCTTGGAAACTTGTCTCTCTTCAATATGTCAAGTACGTGACTATTAAGATAGGAGCAGGATGCTGTAGGAGACTAGAGGTGAAGACCACCATGAGCACAGAAATATACTGTGATTAAGTTCTTCACATATTTTTACAGTACTGTAGGTATGAGGAAAAAGTCTTATTACTGCATACTCTGAGGCCCAGTATCAATAAACTGGTGCAATAAATAACAGTGAAATTTTATATCAATTCCTTAATATATATATTTTTAAACTATTGCTGCACCACCCCCCAAAAAAAAAAAAAAAAAAACAAAAATAATAATAAATAATTAAAAAACGCTGATGAATTTGTTTTGTAATAACTACGGTCNAAAAAAAAAAAAAAAAAAATCAAGATTTGCTGCCTCTGTCTGAATATATCAACCTTAATTGTCAACTCAAATTTACACAAACAGTCTTCACAAGAAACGTCTGCATAATTTGGTGATTTAAAAAGATCTCACTACAACCACAACGGGAGCAGTCAGACATTTGAATGCCACCAAGCTCCTATCAAGATAATGGACGTTAATCTCCCAACTTTCCTCTCCTCCTCCCCTCATTACATCATTCCTGTTGTCTTGTTACTAAGTCAACACCAGACACCAAACACAGTCTGTCTCAGTTCTACGTCAGATTTGTAAGGCAGGCCTCCATCTGAGCCTGATATAATCTTCCACAGACTGAAATATGTCCCAGGTCTCTGTCTTAAACCTTGATGTAAACCTACAAGACACAAGCCAGGGTCCTGGAGACATTTGTCTACAGCAGAGATGATATCAAAAGGTGGAGGGCCTGATTTGAAGAGATAGCACTGCTATTTCTTTTAGAATCTTATTTAATGACATGAATTAGTGATTTACCTACTACTACTACTACCCATAAAGCATAACAACTACTGAATCACAATAATAACAGAATCTAAAAACAATGCACCAATTTCCTACTTCAACTGCCACAGTATATCAAAATATCCCATTGTTATTGTACACGTCTCTTCAGCCTTTCTTAAAAATAAGTCCATCTCTCATTGATCTTTAGTGTACTCTCCGTGCCCTAAATCTGATGAATAAGCCAGCCAAACTAAACAACATGGGGCAAATCAGAGCCACCCGAGTACACTGTACGAGTAGAAAGGAACGGCTACGATTTAGTAACTACATGTGAATATGGAGGGCATAAGGTCTTGTTTATCTGTGGAGATTAATCTTTACTGTTGATTTTAAATTCTTTTGTTATCGTGCCCCCATCCTTAAGAGAGCTCTCCTCAGGTTGATGCTTAAGGACACAGGGTTGTTTGTTTGTGGGTTAATAGGCTGTCTACTTTCACAATGATTTAAAACAAAATTTATTTATAAGTCTACAACAATAGCTGTAATTATTTTGCAGGAAGAATGGTTTGAAGAAACTAACAGATATAAATGTTACAACTGTAAGTTGGCATGATATCTTCCTCTGAGGAGGTGTGTTTGTGTGCAATTCCTGTCAAGATGAGACAGCTTTATTTAGCATGCAACACCCCAGCAAGTCTTTGGAATAAAAAGCAAGAGAAGCTGATGATGGCATGTGCCTTACCTCAAACTAGAAGCAATGAGGAAGGCAACAAATGAAACTGTTTTCTTGTTTTAGTAAGGAAAAAATCAGTCACATGGTCTGCTGCAGTAATACATACTGTGTAAAATTGTATCAACTTGACTGAAAAAAGCTGTGCAGCTTTTGATTCTTTCCACTTGTACAATACTGTAGCATTATTTTCATGGAGAAAACAGGCAACTACTTAAGAGTGTATGTGGTTTGAAAAGATCACATTAAGAAACATCAATAAAATACAAAACCATAAAGCACACACAACTGTAGTTTTTCTGGAAAATTTATGTTCTATGTTAAAGCATGTTAGATGATTAACAAAATGAATTCAATCTCTATCCCTTCTAGTAAATGACAACATTTCTAAAACATTACCATACATATTTTTACCCTAGCCTAAATACTAGTTATGAGCAGGGAATGCTCTGCAATCATCATCATACATAATATGGGCAAAGGACTCTGTGATAGAGCAGGTCATGGATAATCATCACACAGTGCAGGACAGAGTAATAACTTACTTTAGGGACAGGAGAGGTCCGAACAGCCGCTGTCGAGTTCGTAGCTCGCACCGAGGAGTGTACAGGGCCCGCTGTGATTGGCTGCTGCTGGAGAAACTGGGCAGATTTCATCCCCTCCAGGAGTCGGATCAGCAAGATGTTTGCTGGTAAATCCTCTACCTTTCTTTCTACCAGAGTGCGGCATTCTGGGCACCGTATTTCCTTCTTTGTGCTTAAAATTTCCTCGAGGCATCTGCGACAGAATGTGTGTTGACAAGGCAGTACCTTACTGCTAGTGTCCATGCGTTCTAGACACACGGAGCACTCCAGCAGTTCATTCAACACATGTTCATCCATCCTGACTAGGAAATAATATCGAAATCAAGACGTTTCATTTTCCAGTAAACCATAATAACTACTCGTCCTATCCATCAATATACAGTCACTGTCTGCAAGGAGTTGGTTTCGAAGTTCACATCTTACATGTCTGTTTTAGTCACATTTTCTTCTGTTATACAGGACTCACCATATCCATCAGCACACAGTATAAAAGTGAACTGCTTGGTTGTTAAGCTTCGTCTAGCGACTCAAACCAAAAATCCTGGGTTAACTTAAAGCCACTCAAGTCAATCTCAGCTTTTCCTTGTCACGCGGCGCAGACAAAGCCTATTAAGTCTCACTATAAAGGATCCCCGTTATCTTAAGTAGATCAAGCACTAAAGTATACTTTAACAGGTAACACTTACGTCACGTTGAATATAAAATAATTAAGTACATTCCTCTGTGATGAGTAAACTTAAACAACTTCCAGGCTTATTCCACTCACTTCCACCATTGCCCTTCCGCAGCACTTCCGTAAATATTGGGCAAGAGAAATGAGTGAGATTTCACTCATACTTTAAACCACTAGAGGTATAATAGAAGCAAATCGCTCTATGTCAGATCTAATAAGACACACTAGTTGATGATCGATAGTATAATTTTGATATAGATTCGTTTATAGTGAATAAACATTAACGCGATTAAATGCGGAAGGATATGGGGATTCCACGCACTAGTTATAATCTCTAAACCAGATTTTAAAATTCGAGGGAATGAAAAAGTATGGAATTAATTTTACAAGACTGAAACTTCAAGTAACAGCTTCCTTCCTTGATTATCTCCCTTTCTTTAAAAATTTGCTTTAAATGCATCCATTCAACATTCCGAAAAATGATATGTGGTATTTAGTTTAGAGAGTTCTAGTCACGTGCCAACACCTAAACATCCAAAATGGCTTCACTGGGCAGGTACAAGACGATTGGGTGGAAATTCCTTTGGTATACGTATACTCGCCGTAAGTAAAGAAATATATCCATTTGTTTTTAGATAAATATGACATTAATGAGCAATAAAGAACCGTTCGATTTCTTTAAAATTGGTAAAATTTGTAGCAATCGGCGTCTAAATAGAAATATTTACACTTTGGCATTGGCACTCACGCATACACACACACACTGCACCTGTGTAGAAATATCATCATATTTAGACTTGCATTTTAAAAAAATTAACTTATTGCGGCATAGCTCATGAGTCATTGAAAATTAAATAACAGCTGCACGATTTTAACTCTGAAAGTTGTAAATTTTTACTTAGTAGTTCTTGATCAAGTTGAGCATGACTTGAATACTTGTACACTGATTTGTTTTCGTGTAATAATTCTCTGTCTTTGAAAAAATTATACTTCATTGTCTTCCCCTTACCCATGACCCACTTGATCAGCACACTGTGTAAAAGTGGACAATTTACAATTATTAAAACCATTAATCAAGACACAAGTTTTCAAAATATTTAGTTCAAATCAGCATAGAAATATTGTCTGGTTTAGTTAGGTATGCCTAATTCTCACATCTGTCTTTTCCATCTTGAATAACACAGTTTCAAATTTGTGAAGGTAAAAATTTACAATGGCTTCCCATGTGACTTTGTTTTGCTCAATGAATATAATATAGATTGAAATAAATTTTAAAAAATGATAGAAATAAAAATTAATTATTACCAGTGCTGAAGACAAAGCTAGTTACATTATACAAATGTTCTGATGACATAATTGCATGATGGCATGCTAATATTATCAATATGTAACAGTAATATCCACACTAGCACAGGGTTATTGAGGACTAATTTCCTATTGAAATTGCAATCGTAATCTGGTTTCCTGTTGAAACTGCATTTTGTTGAAAATTAATATTATTTGGCTCTAAAAAGAATTTTAGAAGGATCTCAGACTTGTTTAATTTCCTTCATATATCCAGTGTCACTTTACAGTGGTGAAGCCACTTCGTTATATAAAGTTCAGTGGGAAGTAGCTTTCAGAATAACCGCATCCCTTAAATAAGAATGAAGCCAATGCTATAAGTTAGTTTATATTGAAATCTGGACTATGATTAGATTTGTGCTAAGTTGATAACCTGTGTGGTATGTGTAATTATCATGTGCAGCACTTGTATCTTTGAAAGGAATGCCATCAAGGCTATTATCACTTGATTAGTAAACCTAATTAATATTTACAGGTGTCTGAGAATGAACAGGACCATGTGAGACCCAGTAACATAAAAAGAGACTAGCTGGTTAAAGAAAAAAGCTGCAGACAGATTTACTTTTGGGGTCAGATTTGCATTTGTGTGACCAGCATTGTAGCAAGATATAAGAAGTATGAGTCTGTTTAAAAGAAGTGCGTCTAAATCCCCAAGTCCTGGAAGCCAGGGCAGTAACAGCAGTAGGAAGCTGCAGGCTGAGGAAGAGGCTCAGACCAGACTGGAGGTGTATGAGAGACACTGGCAGCAGATTTTAGCCATAATACAAACCACCAATGCAGCCAGGACAGCCCAGAACATTGCTGACGATATCGAAGCAGTGCTCCATTATTTCAGTCAGATGATGTTTTTACTGATAGAGGAGAAGGAGGAGGACGGGTGTCAGGGCCCCATATTAAGGTTCACTTTGACTGAAAACCTGCTGGAAGTGCTGTTTAATTGGTGTAACCAGAGCGTGGAGTTCCGACATAAACTGAAGTTTGAGCAGCTGAAAATGTACGAACAGTTGATAAGTCAGGCCAGGCAAAGATTGCTGGTGCATAAGCCTATCATTCGCCCTTTGATGAAATTACTGTCATCATGTTCAGAGACTAAGAATATTCACATTGAGCAGCATGAGGTGTTACTACTTCATCAGCTTTGTGTATGTTTGTCACAAGACCCTCAGTTACTGGAGTTATTTTTTTCGGCCCATGAGGTGCAGGGGTCGGCCAAATTCCTGGTCTTTTCTCTGCTGATCCCGTACGTCCACAGAGAGGCCAACCTGGGGCAACAGGCCAGAGATGCTTTATTACTGATCATGTCCCTGTCTGCTGTGAATGAAGAGATAGGGAAACATGTGGCAGAACACTCTGATTTCTGTCCTGTAAGTATCACTGTATAGCAGTCGCAGTTCTGTTGAATTTTGTTCCTTTTATAAATATTTAAAATATTGTCAGTCATGTCATGTTTTTATAACTGTTAAAGTTTTGTTTTTAAAAGAAGAAAAATTGCACCAAAGAGTACTTTATTTTATGTTATATATATTGATATTGATTTTTATGCTAATTATTCCTTTTCAGTTTATTGAAAACAACACCACGGGCAAAGAAAATGTCTTTTTTTTTTTTTTTTGATAAATTTGTTGCAGGTGTATTTGATATCCTCTTTTGCACATTTTGTTATTATCCCAACCATTAGCTAGATATATGTCCAGATGTGCCAGGCATTGATAAACTGAATATAACCAGGGTATCACACACTTAATCACGTCTTAATTAACTATTGTGACAGACTAAAGTCAATTAAGTATGCCTAGCTGACTGCAGCCTCAAGGCATGAAACCAGGTGATCAATTACCTGGATCTGAAGCCAGATGTAGCTGGAAGTGGCTTGATTACATCATAACAGACCAATTATTATCTAAGGTAATCTCAAAGAGACAAATTATATTGAGTAGCTGGGTCCTTTGGAATCAGGTGTAGTTTTTTTGAAGGTACATTATGGAGAATTTGTTGACAGTATTTTGAAATAGGATTGAAAGCAAACTAAAATATGATTAAATTTGTTTGGTTAATAAGTAACTTCATAAAATTATAATGGCATTTTAGAGTATTATTTTATCTTCATGAAGTATTTTTATTTCATTGATTGTTAGCCAGTATGCATTTTAAGGAAGTGGGTCTGCATGCTCTGAAAACCACCCACTATTTTTCACACTTAAAAGAAAAAAACCACAACATTTAATATGCAGCAGGCACATGGCTTTCTGTTGTGTACATTCTGCTATCCTGTCTATATATTGCGCATAACCTTGTTAGTCTTCAGTTCCATCTCCATGGAATCTCTCATTACTCCGCATTTTCCCAAAAGAGAATTAAATTTTCCTCATTACTTGTCTCTGATTTCATGTGGTGAAAGAAGTTTACTCAAAGGAAAACATAGATTTTGGGCAAATTCTGTTACCAGTAGCCCCCCCCTCTTCACTGTGATCTCTGTGAGTATATGCAGGATACCAAGGCATAACATCATAGTGCTGTTTAGTGAGTATTATGTCAGGTATTGTTGGCCGTCAGTCAACATTTATGGTTCCAATCATGAATAAATACATGTCATATTTTAGGCAAAACCAGTGCTGGAATTAGACATCATTATAATACATAATTTAACAAGAGCAAGTCTCTATTTTCAGATACATGTAAAGTGGTTGTTTTGCAAGCATCATGATAATCATATGTGTGACATTTGAAATAATTAATAATATTAATTTTTTTTATTTCAATAAAAGTTTTAGGTCCTGTATCAAAATTCACGAAGATGTTTTATATACCAGTGTGTTACTTTTTAGTTGTCTAATTTCAAAGATAAAATCCAATTAACTAAAGTGCAAGATATAGAAGCCATATTATACTTAGTCGAGTTAATCCATTCAGCTAGTAGGTTAGTCATTACAGGTTTCTTGCCCTATAGCATGGCTTATTCTGTGGTGCATCTAAAAAAAGTGCCCTTAGTTTTCTCATGTGACTGATTTATAACTGCAAGTAGTTTTTTTCCTTTGGTAAACACTAGTAATATTAAAGATAGGTGCATCATTGTGTGCCATAAAGAAGGCAAGATTTCATGTTCAGGTAGATACCATGATAGGGACCATTCCCAGACCCTATCGTACTAACTTTAGATCGATCTATCTCCAAGGGGATTCTTGCTAAATTGCAACTAACTTAAGCAGCTTAGATGTCTGTCATGTCTACTTCTAGAAAGTAATTATCAATTAGCAGCTTCAGAAGGTGTGCCAGACATCTAAGCTTCTTGCCGCTGAAAGCAATGTAGTGAGAAAACCCTTGGAGATAGATTGATCCTGTTAGATCAATCTAAGCATGGGAACCTAGTCATACTCAAACTTTTACTAGGTGAAAAATTGTTGCCTGTTTATTTGGCATATAATCAAGAAGTGTTGCTCTGACAGTCTCCCACTCATGATTTTAAAACTTTATGTAATGGAATTTATCCACTTGTGTGAATAGATAGGCAAATACAGATGTGTATTTGTTGTTGAAAAAAAAAAAAAAAAAAACGCCATGGCTCTCCAGGATATCTGAGGCAGTTTTACTGATATGTACATTTATAAAAAAATGTGTCTTATCTAAACTGTGAAAGGTCTGTACATCAAATTCAAAAGTTTAAAATTAAGAAAACAAGCTTTTTGGTGGTCAGAATTTGATATTAAGACCACAAAACATGACTTGTCAGGGATTACATATCTTGTAGACCTTCAACCCATTCCCATACCTAGAACAATCTAGCAGGATCAGTCCATCTCTGAGGGGATTCTTGTTGAATTGCTTTAAGCACCTTAGATGTCTGGCACACCTACTGTAGCTGCTAAGCAATAGTTAATTACTCCCTTACAGCTTCAGTAGGCATGCCAGACATCAGAGGTGCTTAAGCTTGAAACAATTTAGCGAGAATCCCCTCAGTGATGGACCGATCCTGCTAGATTGATCTAGTTTTTGGAATGGGATCCTTAAGCTGGCTGGTATTACAAAAACATTGTGGAACTCCACCAAGTGTTATTTTCTTTTGGTTAACCAAGGCAATTGAATTGATTGATGAGCCTATTTAGTAAAGGAAACCCTCAATAAACCAACCTGCTTTAGTAACATTTACTTCACAATTGATTTGCCACCACTAAAATCATTTGCAGCTTGTGCTAAGAAAATATGAAACAGAAAACAAGATTATCTGTTTTCCTTCCTCCAGAACAAGTATGAGAAGGAATTGATCAATGACAATAAACATTTTGATAATGGTCTCAGTCTTGAAGCAAAAAAGGATATTTGTTTTTTGTCTCAATCAAGAAGTTTTAGTATAGGGTATTTCAGAAAAGCTCCTTGGAATTACTCATTTATTGAAAAATTCAAAAAGCTTTTGGTTTGTTTTCCAGGCCTGTATAAAGTATTTAGTGATTGTTTATAGAATTGAAAGGACAATTTGTATTCCTGAAAAGAAATGACAAAACATGTCATTTTCACATAAAGGCAATACATTATTTAGTTCTTGATACAAATGTACAGATGAAGGACTGTACAAGCACCAGTTGTTTTGCAAAGAAATCATTTTGCAGTATGTACACTGCAATCAGAATAATCACAGAAGAAATATGCTAAATTAATCAGAAGGAAATTTAATCCTCAGTGTTATGGGTATTGATTGTCAAGGTGACAATACAGATTACTGATAATAAAGCTCTGACTGCAAGGTTCTAATTAGGTAGATCTGGGCATTTAACCATTATGATTTTTTGTCTGAAGTATAACTTATCTATAGTGATATGATTGGATCAGAAATTGAAATTTGTAGGATTTTTTTTTATTACATTTAACATACTGTTCATAACAACATGTTATCCATTATAGAAATATATTTATCTACAAATAACAATTTTCACTTTTCTTTAAATTTCTCATATAGTTATGTTTCCAAATGTAATCTATGACATAGTATCATACTGTAGACGGGTGTTTGTTCTTAATGTAGACCTTCGAGGTATTATCTACTTCAATGTTGACATTGTTATCCATATTAGAATCATTAAAGTCATAATAACTCTTCGTTTTGGCCAAAAATACGATTTTCCTGGAAAAAACGGCAATTTTCCCGTACTTACCAATGTTCAACGACCCCATTCCTGCATTCAAAGTTAATCCAGGGTTTTTTTCCTAAACGTACGGTTTTTTGTTAAAATCTCTTAAGAGATTTTAACTGACGGAGCCCTCTCGTATCGAGCGATAGTTTCTAGTGACCTACTTAAAACCGCGGGAAAAGCAGACAACAACACTATATAACAATATTATAAGATTCATAAGATATATTCGTCTTTTTTGCTCAGAATGCATTTATATCTACAATGTGTGCAATTCTGGGCTTTTCGTTATCCGACGCACTGTAAAAAACTCGCAACTTACGTCTGAGGGTTTCCCGCCATGTTATTTTGGTCTCGAATGAACGTGAGAATCCGCGTGACACCATTACGTCATTAGCAACGGATGCACTTGTCGACCGCGAAGAAAGCATCGAAAGCCCAAGTGACAAGCACAGATTTTAGTTTTACTACAATAACAGTCGTTTTAGTGGGAAAATGCAACAGAATATATTTCCAGGCGTTGTTTACAATGTATTTCTTGCGGAATTTTGAATCTCAAAGGAAGAGTTATTATTGCTTTAAGGTTGCAGAATGTTCTAACTACAGCACTTTGAAATATTGTCCATTTCAAAATATACCTTCTAATTCATTATGAATCAATAACTTTTGTAGACTGTTATTTGTTCATATTGCTGTACTGTTTATGTATTGCTAAACTCAAAGCTGAGATTGTCATCCAGTGTTTTTAAATTTTTTTTTTTAATACTGTATGTGGAATATCTGCAGAGAGAATAAGTATTTGGAATACAGCCATTTAGCACGGGTAGTGATTTGATGAGGGAGTAAAATCAGGAATCATTTTATTGATTTTGCACAGCCACAAAGATGGATCACGCTCATTTAGGGAGATCATCCAGAAAGCTTTAATGGTCATTTCTTATTCATTGGGAATTCTAATATTGAAAGAAATGTCGTCTGTATTATAAGTCCCATAAGCCGCTGACCTTTAGAATAGCTTTTAGTTATAATTGAGAAGCCTTTGGTTTTAGAATTCACGGTACAGTTCATTGCTACATTATTCATAAGGCAGGGAGTACATCACTAATATAGGTTCATCCTGTATCCAATTGATCCAAAGATTTTATTATATAATGGCAAAGTTACATTTTTTTTCCTCAAAGCAATTGAGATTTGAGAAAATTAATTATTTTCAAGTTCTAGCCACAGGTTTAGATGGCTGTGTTCCTCCCTGCCCAGAAAGCTAGAAACCCCAGCTTTATATTAGTGTCTCATGGTGTTTTGATGTTTATAATTTTAGGTTCTAGCCACGTTTTTAAGTGGCCTATATTCCTCGCTGCCCAGAAACCTAGAAAACCCAGCTTTATATTACTGTCTCAAACAGTTTTGATGTCTATAATTTCAGGTCCTAGCCACAGGTTTAAGTGGGCTGTGTTCCTCCCTGCCCAGAAAGCTAGAAAACCCAGCTTTATATTAGTATCTCAAACTGTTTTGATGTCTATAATTTCAGGTCCTAGCCACAGGTTTAAGTGGACTGTATTCCTCGCTGCCCAGAAAGCTAGAACACCCAGCTTTATATTAGTATCTCAAACTGTTTTGATGTCTATAATTTCAGGTCCTAGCCACAGGTTTAAGTGGACTGTATTCCTCGCTGCCCAGAAAGCTAGAACACCCAGCTTTATATTAGTATCTCAAACTGTTTTGATGTCTATAATTTCAGGTCCTAGCCACAGGTTTAAGTGGACTGTATTCCTCGCTGCCCAGAAAGCTAGAACACCCAGCTTTATATTAGTATCTCAAACTGTTTTGATGTCTATAATTTCAGGTCCTAGCCACAGGTTTAAGTGGACTGTATTCCTCGCTGCCCAGAAAGCTAGAACACCCAGCTTTATATTAGTATCTCAAACTGTTTTGATGTCTATAATTTCAGGTCCTAGCCACAGGTTTAAGTGGACTGTATTCCTCGCTGCCCAGAAAGCTAGAACACCCAGCTTTATATTAGTATCTCAAACTGTTTTGATGTCTATAATTTCAGGTCCTAGCCACAGGTTTAAGTGGACTGTATTCCTCGCTGCCCAGAAAGCTAGAACACCCAGCTTTATATTAGTATCTCAAACTGTTTTGATGTCTATAATTTCAGGTCCTAGCCACAGGTTTAAGTGGACTGTATTCCTCGCTGCCCAGAAAGCTAGAACACCCAGCTTTATATTAGTATCTCAAACTGTTTTGATGTATATAATTTCAGGTCCTAGCCACAGGTTTAAGTGGACTGTATTCCTCGCTGCCCAGAAAGCTGGAGATTCCCACCTCAGACTGGTATCAGCTGACGCGGGAAGACTGGCTCCAGATACCTGACCTGGGGATGTTCCTCAACTCACTGGAGTTCTGTAATGCTGTCGCTCAGGTGACCATCAGTTTAATAATATATACAGTTATAGTTAGGACATCAATTCCATACTTAAGACTGGAGGTCAGTTCGATGAAATAACTGACCTCATGTGACTGCCTCTTGACCAATCGGTGAGGGTCGAAATTCCTGTTCATGTAAACATGATTTAAAGATTGTGAAGTTGTTACTGGCTGTGAACCTGCTATTATGAGTAAAATATTTGAAAATGTAAACCTTTTAATTGGATATTTAATTTAGGTGAAACTGATTAAAATGCTCTTTGATATCTTGGAGGAAGCTCCAGTTGAGGGCTTGGCCTCTCCATCTGTTGTTGTTATAATTGACTTGATGATCAAGACAACGCTGTAATATTTTAGTGTGCTGTTATGGAATGGTCACTGTATTGGTTAAATTTTCTATCTTATTCAAACTGCTTTGCAATTTGTCATGAACTGGGTAATGGAAAAAGCACTATCGTCAGAGTTAATGCATTGTGATTATTCGCAGACATTCCCACTAGCAATCTTCAGTTATTTCCCTTTGTGGCAGTACCATGTTCAAGTACATTGCTGGTGGTTTTATTGCATTTTTTATCATGAATATTTGACTTGTAAGGGTCCATTCCCAATGAAACTATTGTACTAGGTAGATCAGTCCAACTCCATGGGGACTCACTGAATGTAATCTAATTAACTAATTGATATTGCCTTCTCAAGCAGCTAGGGGGAGATGAACATCCATGTTCCCACAGAATTGGATCGATCTACCTAGTGCAATAGTTTCATTGGGAAGGCACCTGAAGGCAGCATTCAGAACAGAGGACTAACAAATCTGCAGATCAAATATGACTGTCTCACTAGAATGCTTGTTGCATATTCCACACAGAGGATCTGTTCAGTGTCTTATTGGGAATTAAGCAGCAAGCTTTTGAGTAGGTTGTCATATTTGATCCACAGATCAGTTAGTCTGCTGTTCTAAATGCGCCCTAAGTTTGATCATCTTGTTTCTCAGGTTGCCCACCCAATGGTTAGAGATCAGTTGCTCAGTTTTATCTACAATGGCTTCCTGGTGCCTGTCCTGGGGCCTGCATTACATCAGGTAGAGCATAGATAACAGATTATGGTATTTGAAGTGAAGTGATGAAGCGTGTGTGTGTGTGTGTGTGTGTGTGTGTGTGTGTGTTGGGGGTGTACATGACTTGCGTGGCAGGAGATTATATGATACACTTAATTTTGAACCCTGAAATAAATTTGAAAAAAAAAAATCATATTACATCAATCATGAAAAGTAAATTCAATCAAGATTTGACTATTGAAAAATATGGTAACATTTTGACAGAAAATCATTAATTTGGTGAAATTTACATAAAGTTAAAAAAACTAAGTGAAAAGCTCTCGAGTGCTTGTGTATATGCAAAGCATGTGATAAAGTGATACATTGAACAATACTTGTGATGACGTGAAGTGATAGATTGAGTGATAAATGCAATGGCTTGTGAAGGCTTCTTTTGTTGGGCCTTTTTTCCAACATACGTCATTAAGGTTATTATTTTCCTTTTGTCAGTACATCATGTAATATAAGCATCAAAGACCTGTATATTGATTTGATCATTGCTGTATATCATGACTTAAATCATAGAACTAAATGGTTTCATAGTGTGACAATTAAGTCAGTTGTTGAATGGTTCCAATATCATGCTGCTTTTCATTTATTTCCTTGATTATTCTTTACATTGATTATTGCTATGGGAAGGGAGAATAACTTGAAGAAAAAAATCTTTTTAGAAAATGATGAATGCTATCTCACACAGTTTTTACAGCTGGCTGCAGTAGACTTTAGTTTACAGTAAAATAAATGTTACTATATTGCAAAAGGGAATGGTGCCGGAAAAATTAATTTAATGTGCACTTTTTGCAATTGCCAGGAACAAACATTTATGTTCCTCAAAAAATTGTTTGGCTTCTGCAAACTTCAGCTGTGAAGAAATTTTGACGAATGAAAGTTTACTGTAGTGAGCTGTTACTTTAGTGCAAAATATATACAATAGATAATAATTTACAGTAGAAACCAGTATAATGATTTGCATCACTTTTTTTCACATCAAATAACATGATTAAATTCCATGATTTCTTGTTCTTTTACCACCCAAGGACATATCTGGACTGCCCATGTCCATCCTTGAAAAGCTCTTTGTGGTCAGTACCAAATGCCAACGTGTCTTCCTGCATGTGTGCCCTTCGTATTCTTCTGTTTGAGACGCATTTCCATCGAAGTTGTAACAGCTTATCTTAGCACATGTAATCTCAGCACACCTTCTTGAGATTTCTAAGTGTGCTTAGAAGGCGTGTGCGAATATGAAGCTGTCAGAGATTGGAAATGCGGCCTCCACTACCAGCTGTGTTTTGCCAGAGATCAAATTGTAATATAGTCTGTTGAATAGATCATGCAAGCTTGTTGAGTTTCTGTGACTAAAATTATTTTTTTGGACCAGAAAAGAAGTAAAATGATCCACTTTTTGTGTGGTTCTCTTCAAAATATCTTTGGCTGAAATAGAGCCCTTTTAGATTGAGCAAAGACAAGACAAAGTTTTTGTGCATTAGAACTTCTATTACAAATGACAAAATTTTCAGCTGCTTTCAGTTTTGGATAAAGTGTTCATCCCTGACAAGTAAACACAGCAATAAGGCATTTCCAGGACTGGTCTAACTAAAATCACTAATTCACAAGAAAAAAATCACATTGGAAAATCCTTCTGGGGATATTCTAAAAGTTAAATGATATGGTAAGCAATCAAGCTACCTGATGACATCACTTAGTCAATTATTGGTTTCAGTTGGATCAGTTCTGAATGCCTCTTACTATGTAACCCCCACTGTAGTTCTAGTGAGTGGCATGCATTTACATATTAACCTAGAGGGGGCTCTTCACAACTGTTTCATTTAAATGCTTTCATTACTGAAAACGAAGAAATGAAATAATTTTATCGCAGTATCTACAGTTTTGTATGGTTATAAGAAGTGATTTTGGGTTTTTTTTGACCAACTAAAGAGACTTAAATTTATGTAACATTATAAAATATTGTGAAAGGAATAATATGTATAATTGTGTAATATAGATTCTATTCAATTTTCACAAAGAAATGAACTACTGCTTTCAGCTTTTATTGCAAAAAAGTTTTCAACATTAAAAGCTTTTTCCAAGATATTATGCCATCATAGGCATTGCTACGTTATTTCTTATGCAGTGTTCCATTATCATAGTTTTTGTAGAGGAAGCTGTTAATGTTATATAAAAGCTTACTAAGAACCTGTCTCAGTCAATAGTCTTCCTCTTCATTAAGATTGGCATAGTTTCTTTTAACTCTTTGCTCTGTGTTCTTTATACTTTACTCCCAAGTTTTGTTTTATATGTACCCTGTTCTCCAGTGTCTTATGCCTGATAGCCTGTTTCTATCTTGAACATGTAACAATGGTTTTCTTAGCTTATAAAATAGTTTTCTGTCCTTCTACTTTGCATTATTTTCATTTACTAATTTTTGTAGGTATGCACAGGTCTTTAAAACCCTTAGTATTAATTTAAACTTCAAGTAAAAATAACAAAAAATTATTTTTAACAGATATTATCTTAATTAAAAGAACTTCAAATTTCATTTACTTGAGTGCCATGTACCTGTACTGTTGTATTCAGCTGGTCCTAAAACAATCATTATGAGAAAAAATTGAAATTGAAATGTACCATCACTCTACAGTCAATACAATATCATTTAAAGCTCTTATTGGCCATTACTTAAGGCAGAAAAATCAGAGGTGTTTGATTTCTTTTAACTGCCTCCCTGTTGTGACATTTTTATTTCAAAAGCTGTAGCTCTCTCTTTCAGAATTCTATGGATGAGGTGATTGCTGCGACGGCATACCTGGACCTGTTCTTACGCAGAATTACGGAACCAGCTCTGATGAGAACTTTTCTGAAGTTTATTCTGACTGAACACCACGATGAAATCAACATTTTAGAATCTCTGATCACAAGAATTAGTAGTAACTCCAAGGTAAGGCCACAGTCTGGAGTTTGTTTACAAAAATGAGAAGATGAATAATAATAACAATGACAGTTATGATGGTAATGATCTTCATTAATTAGGGAAAAATTGTTTCATTTAATTATACCAATATTAAATATTTCAAAATAATTTTAAAGATAAAATATTTTGCTTTATCTGTCATCTAGTGTTAATCTAAATACAAGAAAAAAATGGTCAAAAAATGTGACAATTTTCAATTGTAAAATACCATTCACATCAAAGTAGCAAGGTATTCTTGTGTCTGTTTCAGCTGTGTGTTGTGTCATTAGGGTTGTTTAAGACCCTTCTGGATCTGAACTGTGAAGATGTCATGTACCAGCTAGTTTTCAAGTAAGTCTGGAAGAAATGGATAAAATGATGAATATGTATGTGTATACCTCAACACGTAAGCATATTCTATGGCATTGCATTATGAATGTCTGTTATCTTTAATCCTAAATTTATAGGATTAATGGAATGCAAATGAAAGATGAAACATTTATTTGTAGCTTATATTTATTCATTTGTTTTATTGCATTTTAACTATTTTTGGGGGCACATTTATATAATTTATTGAACTGATGTGGATTTGACTTGGCTCAGCAATTTGATAATCTAAAAGCAAAAAATATAAAAAAATTTTAAAAAACTCTTAAGTGTTTTATACGTAGTATGATATATTACTGTACTTCAAAATATCAGAAATTAATTTTGGAAAAAACACTCCCCTTAGGTACTTGGTGCCGTGCACACATGTGATGGTGAGCCAGAGGAAGGCAGTGGGGGATGTAGACTTGTACAGCAAAGCAGCAGAGAAGTTCCTGGCTCTTATACCAAATGTAGGGGGCAGGACAGGCTCCGTGAATGGTCCACAGGGGGCAGCAGCTGCAGGCACAGTTACCATGGTAGTCACGAAGGACCTGCCTGTCTCAGGGTCAAGGTAAGATCTGATAGGCTGAGGGATACCTGTGTATTTTCACCTCCATTTTGTGCATTAAGTACGGTGGGCTGATGAATCTTGCTCTGTACTTTGTAATATCTTCAGGGTAGAGTAAAACTGTAGTGTGTGTGAAGTTCACAAAACTGAATTGGGCTAACCTGTTTGAATGAAACTTCTTTGTGTTATTTTAATGCTTGTATTGACGCACAAAAATGCAGGTAAAAGAACTAACCAAAACCAACATGAAACACTTTTAAAAAAAAAAAAGAAAAGAAGAGAACAAAAATTGTCAAATTTATCAAACTTTGTGCTAAATTTCTCAGATGGTCTGTCATAGTTTATGTTTTGATAACTTAGCAAAAATTTTTACAAAAATGGTCTTTGAAATAAATCATTTTGTTTTATTATTATTTATTTTTGTTTGGTTTAGGACATGTTTTATGGTTATCAAGCATCAAAAACTTATTTCAGCACTTCAGTTGCATGCAACTTTGTCAATGCTTTTCACAGTGCATGCTCCTTCATTGTGTCATCTATACACTGCCTACACTGCAAAGTCTGGCTGTTTGTGTTAAATAGATGTAATGCTTAACAACTGTAACTGTGAATTTATGTCATTGTGGTAGTCTTTTCTTCTTTTATCTGTGTCTTGAGAGAACTAAATACATTCATCATCAGTTCATCAACATAAGTTATACTGAAGTCCTCAACAGGCAATATTTTTTAATAACATGGTTTTATTTGACTTTCTTTAAGCCATGTTATAAGGTATGGATTTATTTATTTTAAAGTAGCAAGTTTTTAACCTGGAATAGCTAACAACACAATCATGTAGACTATATATTCAGCATGTTGCATATTAAGTTGCCTTTCCTTTCCAGTTTTCCCTCCAAACCAAAACCAAAACGCAGTAATTTTAGTTTTGGTCGTCTCTTTCGACGAACTAAACCTGCTCGTCAATTTGTGCCTGCAAGGTAACCTTTGACAGTTGCGCCATCTAGTTGGCAGAGCTTTGGTAGCTAATTGCGATTGCTTGGGGTCTTGTTGGAATCTCATTTGGTGGCCTCTCAGGGAGCGGTGACTTTGGCAAAGTGTGTATGTTTTCTCCATTGGTTGAAGATGCTGTTTAAAAGTCTATTCAAATTTTCAAAGAAAAGGTTAGAATCTTGAAATGTTTCAATTTTGATTATTGTTAGAGATCATTGTGAAGCTGCTACTAAAAACTAAGAACTTTTATTTTGCAAAGAGCTCAGAAAAATTGAATGGCAGTAAATTGTTAAACAGCACAATTGTCAACCCTCTCCTGTGTCACCCAGCAAGCCCCCAGTACTAATATTGATAATTGACTTTTCAGAGTTTTTTTATTGAAACATAATCTCTGAGTCAGTAGCTCTGTAGACTTGTCTAATGGACTTGTCTACTGAAAATATTCACTGTTGATGTGTCTGTTTTCTTTTGGTAATGAACAATTTCTTATCAACTGAAATACATATGTATAACCAATTTGAAATGACCTTTTATCTGTTAGTAATCTTCTGTTCTGTTATGATTACAGATCTGTTCTCTCCTGATTATTTTGTAATACCCGTATTTAGATGATTTATTTAGAATGACATTAGAAATAGGAATTTACTTACTTTGACCATTAAATTATCTTTGATTGTTTGCAAATGCAGTTGAGGATCACATCATAATTGATAATTAAAGGAATATGATAAGTTTAGTTAGATATCTTTCTTGAAATAACTTCTCAGTAGATTATATTCCCAGCACACAATAAGTCATTTGCACTCAAACTTCTTCAGATTCCACCACTTTCTGTCTCTTCAATATATATATTTTTTTCTTTTTATTAATCATTATATTGTTTAGTGTGACCGTACACAACTAACAGAAACAAACTTCTCATTTCAGAATCAAAATATTATTCATATATTGAGGTCAAGGCTATGATCGCTTACTGCTTAATTGCACTATGGTGAACAGCACTGCAATCCACTTTATTCATAATTGGTCAGCAATCCTAGTGAAATCATGAAAAACACCTAAAATTTATAAAAAAAAAAAAAAAAGAAAAACATCATTGAAACATTTATTATAATGGAAACAGTGATTGAACATGATAATGTGATAAATAGACTATGGTGTGGCATAAGAAAATATTATAACTATAACGTGTGGAAATTAACACGATTATTTGCAAATGTGTTTATTTTGCACATTATTAATCTGGTTTTATGTTTTTATAAAATGCTTAATATATGTATTTTGTTTTGACACCCATCAAGATGTTCATGCAGTTTTGAAACTGACATTTGCACTGTTATTTCAGACCAGAAAGTGTTTTATAATGATAGATTATTGTAAAGTTGGCATATAATATATACTTGTACTTGTGACAGCCATTTCTGCAAATAACTTTTAATGAGTGTTGAGAATTTTATTTGTCAAGAAGCATGCTGTGGACATTTTTTTTTCTAATCCTCACACGTTCAAACTTCTATGTGGTCTTGGAAAAATTAGATTAAAACTCGATCATTCTGTGTTTGGTTTACACATTAAGCCATCAAAATAAATTGACCTTTAATTTAATTCATTTCAGTGGACATCCCACGCCAGCATCACCAGAAGGGACAGCCATTGGCAAGTCTTCACTCCAAAGTGCTGAGAAATTTGAAACTTGTTACCAGGACTATCTTGATGAGGCCAGGCAGCAGCTCCATCTATGTGCAGAAGCTTGCCATTGCTGGTCATCGCTGTATGACAGTGAGGATTCCTCACTAGAGAATGCTGGGATGCTTCTGACAACACCTCGTAAATGTGCATCAGAGAGTGTTTTATATCCCACACCAACACCCACAGACTACAAAAATATTTTGTCTGATTTTAAATTAAGGACAGAGTCTGCACCAAACAGGCTTGACCCCGCAATGCTGGGGTCAACCCCACTGAAAGGAGGCGATGTTCAGGGATCTTCAGGGTCGTTAGATTCTAGTCCAGGGACAGAAGGGTCGAATCAGAAGTGTCAAAGTTCTGAGAGTCGTAGTAATAGAGTTTCCAGTGCTTCTGATGTAGATAGTGCCTTATCTTCTTCGGCTAGCAACGTCACAGTGGAACTGAATGGGGGAGGGTCAGAGAGTGACGCTGCACTGTCAGACAGTTTTAGTTCTGATGATTTAGAGTCTTTTTTGACTTACTTGAAGAGAGTGAAATCTCCCATCGAAATCTGTGATAATTTAGAAGACAGTCTCCACGAAATTGATGACATGATTGAAAGTTTGAAAAATATGACTGGGAGAGACGTGACAGTGCAAAAAGGAAAGTCAGAAACAGATCTACTGATAGATAATAACAAAAAAAGAATTGAAAGTGAATCACAAAGTACAACACAAAACAACTTATTACAAAAAGATGGCAACTCTTGTACAAAGGGCGACCTTGGCACAAGGTCAGCTGTAGTAACTTGTGACCCAAAGGAGCTGCTGACAACCAATCACAATACAAGGCCAAGGTCGCTGACAAGCAGTGCTCCAGAAAGTAAGTCTAGTCCAAATTTGTCTGAGGGGACAGTGGAAGAGAAACTTGCCTCTGACCTGAGTGCAATGCAGGCACTGAAGAGTGTCCAACAGGTGCTGAGTATCACAGAAGAGACGAGACAGGACAAAGTGGGCGGAGGGGAGGGAGCCAAGAAGAACAGGTTGTCTCTGGGAAAGTCTGGAATACCTACAAAGTATACCCCCAACCAGCCCACTGTAGGTGAGACTCAAATGTGACGAGTACAATTAGGCATGTCATTTGGTCAGGGTTCTAGGAAAATTTCCTCTTGAATTATCCATTATTCATCAGTTTTTATTTTAACGTAAGTTTATTTCTTTTAATTAATTTTTTCCCTTCACTTAAAGATCTGTCAAAAATTCACATAATGTATGAATAACTAAAATGAGTTATAGATTTGTTATTGCCTTCATAGAGATGTAAAACTAAAGTTTAACTTTTGATTTATTTTGACGTAATAATCAGTAAATTCTTTATCTTTCCAGGTCCTTTCCTTAATGTTCTCCTGACCAAGCTGGAAGGGATGATCCAGAACTCATTCGATGTGAACCTTCTCCTCACAGGTGTGATAACACGGCTGGCCTGCTACCCTCAGCCACTCCTTAGGTCTTATCTTCTCAACCATAACTTAGTGTTTCAGCCCAGTGTGAAGTCCTTAGTGCAGGTAAATGACAAACTGGGCTCCGTATCTCGAAAGCTTTGCTATGTTGCGCATGTGCGCAAGCGTCTCGATTCCATAACTCGCCCATACTCGTCCCATATAATACGCTGTAGCCTGTTTTTGATATAGCGATTTGCAATACGCAATGCTTTCGAGATACGGGGCCCTGAACTCCATGTTTTCTTCCCTTGTATTGATATATTTTTGGAAGGTTATATTGCTGTAGGTCTGGCCTGTGTTGTGAAGTACATGGAAAATATTCTCATTGAAAAATACTTAGTACATAGATTGTAAACTGGACATGGCAGCCTTAAATCAACTTTTTAAAGAATGACTTATGTCTGAGATCCTAGATTATTAATACAAAAAAGTGTGACAAAACAAAAGCAGATAAATAAAAATAAATAAAAATAAATCATAAATAAAAATTAATGTAAAAAAATTCATTTGCACGATATGAGAAACAGTGTGGCTAGAGTGCTTTAAAATAGAGCAGCAGCCACTCTTTTCATTGTCCCTTTGGCCGTACCAGGGAAATTAAATTAAACCTTCTCACAATGTCCAGGTCCTCCATTCTGTGAAGACTAAGGTGGAGACCTATGCCAAGAATGACCTGAGGTTCAGCCCCATGTTGGTCAAGTGCCACCAGTACATGGTGACCCAAGAGGGGGCGTTCCTGGCTGAGGCAGAGGAGAGGAGATGTACCAGGACAGATAGTGTGATTACACAGAAGTCCAGCAGCATATTTTACCAGCAGCTACCACCTCATTCATTACCCACTGTCCATGAGGGCCATCAGAAAGGTAGGGGGAGCCACGTGTGTGGGCTTGTCTTGACATGGAGATACAAGAGTCATTTAAAAGTTGCCTTGTTAGTGTTAGAAAGGTTTTGAAAACTTATTTCATTTTCTTTTTGGTATGTGTATTAGGCCCAGAATATACTGTCATGCTGTATAGAATATCATCATACTTGTGACGACATAGTGTTTGCCAGCAGCAGATTTGAAAATGATTCCATTTGATCCATTAAAATTATTAAAGAAGTACAAGTCAGGAAGTTTATAAACCACAGTGTTTTATGGATTCATTTGTTTATTTTACAGAGAAGAAGAGAGGGTTGGCAGACTTGTTCCGTAGGTCAGGTGCAGACAAGGGAAAGAGCAAACAACCTGGGAAGGATTCAAAGTTGGAGATCACTTCAGGAGGAGCAAGGTAATACCTGCTTAGTATGGAATGGGGATTTAAATGGGCAGTCTTATATGGGATGTCAAACTTTATAAAGACTTTCAATGCAAATAAACTTCTCCTTAATTTGGAGTGTTGAAGAACTGAGCCAATTTTGTAAAAAAAAAAATGAAGCTTTGTTTGATGTGAAGGTCAGATTTGCATTTCATCACGTTGTCATCACATTGTCTGCAAAAGGTTAAGATGTTTTTTTTTTTTTTGTTTTTTTTTTTTCTAAATTTAACGAGTCTTCCATTTTTTTTTACCATTCAGGTATATTAATAGAAAGAAAGAAGAGAAACCCGAGCCAGAAAAGAAACCAGTGGACCCACCAGAGACCAAAAATGCTGCTTTCTGTGCCATAATTTTGGAAGAATTTTTGAAAGAACTGGCTGCTATATCACAAGAACAAGCTGTGTTGATGGAGGATGAAGAATATACAACCATTGTCATCAGATGAGAGCCTTTGATTAGGTTTAACTGGAGGAATTTATTGGTGCCATCATGGAGATTTATTTTGCCAGTGCTTACAATGATGCTTTACCTTAAAATAAAAAGAAAATATTGTGGCATAAGAAAATAGGCATTTAAAAGTTAAAAGGAGATGCTAAAAAGATGCTGCCTCTAAAAAGCAAAAATAATTGCAAAATAATTGGCTGTTTTGTACTTTCATTGAAATAATTTTCATGAATTCATTAACACAAGGTATGATGTTACAATGACACCAAGAAGGCTGCAAGGGCTCCCTGCTCAGCCTTGACTCCATATTGTACTGTGCATCTTGGTTCTATGCAAATATAACAGGACTACTGCTGGGTCGTGTGTCACTGGTCAATTTCTGTCACTTTCATCATGTTTTGAGACAAATGTAAAGTTTTTAATTCCTCTCCAATGTAAATAGTTATCGGCTTCTGAAGGAAAAGTGAAAGAATGTNACACTACTGATCGAATTCTAACGCGAAATAACGCATATAAAATCAATCTCCGAGCGGAGGAGAGCGACCCAGACGAAACCTTGAGACAGGAGGCCCCCCGTAGCTAGCTCCGCCCACCGTAACAGACATCGGACAATAGAGAGGCTTGCGTGTAATCTCCTTCTGTTATAACTCCTTGTTTAAAAGTTGCCTTGTTAGTGTTAGAAAGGTTTTGAAAACTTATTTCATTTTCTTTTTGGTATGTGTATTAGGCCCAGAATATACTGTCATGCTGTATAGAATATCATCATACTTGTGACGACATAGTGTTTGCCAGCAGCAGATTTGAAAATGATTCCATTTGATCCATTAAAATTATTAAAGAAGTACAAGTCAGGAAGTTTATAAACCACAGTGTTTTATGGATTCATTTGTTTATTTTACAGAGAAGAAGAGAGGGTTGGCAGACTTGTTCCGTAGGTCAGGTGCAGACAAGGGAAAGAGCAAACAACCTGGGAAGGATTCAAAGTTGGAGATCACTTCAGGAGGAGCAAGGTAATACCTGCTTAGTATGGAATGGGGATTTAAATGGGCAGTCTTATATGGGATGTCAAACTTTATAAAGACTTCCAGTGTAAATAAACTTCTCCTTAATTTGGAGTGTTGAAGAACTGAGCCAATTTTGTAAAAAAAAAAAATGAAGCTTTGTTTGATGCGAAGGTCAGATTTGCATTTCATCACGTTGTCATCACATTGTCTGCAAAAGGTTAAGATGTTTTTTTTTTTTTTTTTCTAAATTTAACCAGTCTTCCATTTTTTTTTACCATTCAGGTATATTAATAGAAAGAAAGAAGAGAAACCTGAGCCAGAAAAGAAACCAGTGGACCCACCAGAGACCAAAAATGCTGCTTTCTGTGCCATAATTTTGGAAGAATTTTTGAAAGAACTGGCTGCTATATCACAAGAACAAGCTGTGTTGATGGAGGATGAAGAATATACAACCATTGTCATCAGATGAGAGCCTTTGATTAGGTTTAACTGGAGGAATTTATTGGTGCCATCATGGAGATTTATTTTGCCAGTGCTTACAATGATGCTTTACCTTAAAATAAAAAGAAAATATTGTGGCATAAGAAAATAGGCATTTAAAAGTTAAAAGGAGATGCTAAAAAGATGCTGCCTCTAAAAAGCAAAAATAATTGCAAAATAATTGGCTGTTTTATACTTTCATTGAAATAATTTTCATGAATTCATTAACACAAGGTATGATGTTACAATGACACCAAGAAGGCTGCAAGGGCTCCCTGCTCAGCCTTGACTCCATATTGTACTGTGCATCTTGGTTCTATGCAAATATAACAGGACTACTGCTGGGTCATGTGTCACTGGTCAATTTCTGTCACTTTCATCATGTTTTGAGACAAATGTAAAGTTTTTAATTCCTCTCCAATGTAAATAGTTATCGGCTTCTGAAGGAAAAGTGAAAGAATGACTGTATTTTGATATCCGAGAGTGAGGTTTAAAGGGGGG